ATATCAGAAGCAGGAAAAATTTGAGTCATTATTCTGACACACTAGAGATGTATATTAGCATTTGCACAGTTTTAACAAATTGTATCACGCATAGCAATGAATACGCAGCCGTCGTACTTTTTTCCTCTGATTCACTTTATACTATATTTTGCTTCCTAAATATCGATTTCTATCGTACGTATTTTAATATTAATTACGTATTTTAATATAATCATTAATTTTAAATTATTGAATTTTAAATAATATCCCACATCCTTAATTAATGCAGTAATTTTCTTAGAGTTTACTGAACCGCGTCTGATATATCTACGCAACAGATTCTGGACAGAGATTTATAATTTTGTGGCTGTGCTTTCATTAACGGAAGACCAGCACTTTGAAGCCATTCAAAGCGCGTTAGAATTATGTGGCCCTGAAACGGTCATGGTTTCCATTTGTTTCTCGATAAGAGACTCCACGACAGATTTGAGAATGAGTGCTATTAGCCTCTTAACTTTTCTACTGTCTCACGAGATTCAGAAAGATTCCCTGGGAAAAAATAGCACATTTTTATTACAAACTGTGCTGGATACTAATATGGCACATGTCTCGATTGAAAGCAAGGATGGTACTTTGCGAGATGTCATATCGAACGTCAACAAATTATCAATAAGAGACGCGAACGCGCATTCCAGAAAATCGAATGAAAGCGAGAAAGATTTGCTTGCGAAAGACGATAAGTTACCGGATCAAGAACAAGCTACTATAGGAGACGAATTATGTGGACTATTGCTGTATCTTTTCATCGCTCATAGCTATACAAAATCCAAAAAGAGCAACAAACAATCAGAGGACAAAGATCTCATTGTAGGCGCCCTTACTAATCTACTATGCGTGTCAAAGAAGGCGAAGCGAACGGCATTATGGAGTAATCTTTCTGAGACTGCGTTGATGATCCTAAAAGAATTATATGTCAAATTGAATCTTCAACCATTTGAGCTTTACAAGAAGCAAGCGGAAAAGAAGGTAAAGGAAGACTAACACATTATGGATTCAATTTCTATACGAATTTATAATCACTTTCTTTTTTATTATAGATTCATCCTCTATTACACGATGTGAATTGTATCTTCATACTTCTGATGAACTTTATGTGTGGAGACGTGTGTGTCAAGGAAAGTTTAACAAAGGAAGGCTTAGCAGACGTAGTACATAAGTTATGGGCTTGGATAGCGTTAAATAAAATAGTATCAACGTCCGCCTTAAAATTACTGGCGACATTTACGACGAAATGTAATGTTGGTAAGATGATTTAAAAACATTATTAATTATATTAGTGACAATTTATTAATAATATTTATTAATAATATTAAATTTATTAATAATATTGGTGACAAAGATATACGATTTCTCTGTGTCATTTTCAAATTAATTGCGTTTTAATTTTATCGCATTTTTTAGCCGCACAATCCTTAACATTAACAACCATATTACCGGGAAGTGGATTAAGGAAAACGCCAAATACGCTCGCATTGATACATGTTATTATACAAGTAACGTGCAAAGAAATAGAAAGGGCCGGTCAAATTTTCGATAATCATAAGATGCACTTTGCTTTTCACATCCTGCGAAACACGGTGCATGTTCATGAGTGTAGAGTCTGCATTTCGAAGGTAATTACATCATTACTATCTGTTATTGCAATTACAAGAATAGTTTTGAAGCAGTGAGACTCAGACTGCGTTTGCTTTGGGCGCTCACACGCTAATAAAAATACACGCGTAAATTTCATTCTATCTTCCTTTGGCATGGTAATGAATGATACAAATAGAAACTTACAGAACGCACTAAGCAAACAGTCTTAATAATGAGCATATGCTTAGTAGTACGAACATTTCCAAACGGATTAACTATGAATTAATTGTTCATTTTACAGAGTAATCTTCTTCAATTTTTTACCAAGATACATCCCACTATCACCAAAAGAACGAAACCATGGCCATTAGTGGAAATGTATTGCCTAGAGTTTTTATTAGATTTTTCTTACTACGAGGAAGGGCAATTGTGCGTGCCAAAGGTAAAAAAATAGAGAAATATATTAGTTACTTGATAACTATATAATATATTTTTTAGGCCACTGATTCTCTAGATGTCCTAATGTATTTAGCAAAATGTCCTTCATCAACGAACAGAGTACTTGCAATATCGATATTACGCAATTTAGCTTTTAATATAGCGAATAGACCTCGGCTTCTTAGTTCAGGTAAATATACAAGTACAAAATATGCAGGATAGGTGCAATGATTTATATTCATTGCATATTACACTATATTTGTTATTTTACAGTGGATTTCATAAATTTGTTGCACGACGTTTTCAAGAATGGATCATCATGTGAAATCAATTTAGCTGGCTCCATGCTGTGGTCTTTGATCAGTAACAACCAAAAAGGAAAACTTATTATGCGAAGTGCCGGGTTCTCTCAAAGCATTCGGGAAGCTCTTGGCAGATTTACGTTGTCAAGTATCGATGCTAGTAAACAGGAACAGGAATTAGTCAAAGTTCTGCAATATGTGCTCACCATTCTCAGTCCAATCGAAGTAAAGAACAGTGATGCTCAACCTAGTTGATATTTTAAAGAATGATCAAATATTGTATATACATATTTATTTTTTATTTTCGATTGACTGTAAAATAATAAATTCAATGATTATAATATTTTTTATATATGGAACATTGTATAGTTATATTATTGTACGCATTTAAAGAAACGACTTCGTACAAACTCTGTTAATATAGGTATATACATACTTTTTGAACAAATGTTTAATGTCATATAATATTTTACATTATATTTATATTATATAATATTTTTAACAATTCTTTATAAATCTATGTTGTGTATTTAAATGATTGAAGTGTACACAAACATTCTTTCCTTTTTCCCTATATTACTTTTGTCGATTATTATTGGATGCCTTTCATTTAGTGATGTAAGTATTGTTTTGTTTTTGTTACTCATGTAAAGGATTTGTGTCGACTTGTGTCATTAAATCGAGAGCATCCATTATCAACCGTATTATTAAACTTTTCATGGTATAATGTCGTTTTCTAACATTTTCATCAAAATGACAGGAATGCAGAGTTCCAATTGTGCGCATGCGTAGAAAATGTTAGCGACACTCGACAGCAACGCCAGCGACGCAGGTTTGCTTCTTTTCATGTTCATGTTGAATTCGCGTGTACGTTACCGCGACAAATAAATTACGAATCGCAGGTAATCTTTCGTGATAAAACCCATCAATTTCATATTAATGCGGTGAACGGTGCGTTAAATCCATTTGTGTATCCTGATGATGGTATTTAACGCTCGGCATGAAACATTCGTGAGATATTTGCGATGCGAAATGAACCGGTGCAATCGTTCCATCGTTTTTTTCACCAGCTGTTTTCCGCTTCGCAAAAAAAATCGCAAAAAGTGTATTGCAAAAATATGAGCGTTACGATATAATTGAAGAATTTTATAAAATTGATTTTTATAGTGCAACAATTAATTTTTATCTGTTTATTGTGCCTTGTATGAAGGTTAGATTAGGTTATCTCTCGTGGTATTCGTAGTGTTCTTATAAAAATAGAGAAACTATTATAGGAACTCTAAGCATTCATGGATGAAATTATAATATTTAAATTTGTATAGCTTGTAACTATATATTTACTTTTTAGTGTAGTAACCGTGTGTTTATTATATAATTGGTTGCATTATACTTGTTGAAACTTGTTTAAGCTTTCTGTAGAATATGCAATTTGTACTTTCCAGCAAAAAACATAATAGATCTGTTTTATTCAGCTGAACTTTGTGCACAGTTTATTTTTTTCTTTTTTTTTTTGACATTGAAAAAGAAAGCAAAGCTAAGACTATGTATTAATAATTTTTATTCCATTATAAAAGATTTAGCTAAAAAGAACAAGTCTAATACATAACAAGTCTAAATGATTATTTCATTTTTCTTTAACATTAATAAATAGTAAGAATATAATGATTTATTATGTTACACTGTAACTTCTTGTTGGAAAACATTTAATTTCAAAGAGTTTATCGATGAATAAAATATAATTGCATATGTAAATATAAATAAGCTGTTTGATTAATGCTTGCAATGTTTGGCTTTCAGCCATGGTGCGTATGAACGTTCTTAGTGATGCCTTGAAGGCAATCAACAATGCTGAAAAACGTGGAAAGCGACAGGTGTTGTTGCGACCTTGTTCTAAGGTGATTGTCAAATTCTTGACTGTCATGATGAAGCATGGTAAGTGATATATTACATATATACTTATATAATTATATATAAATATAAATAT